TAATGCAGTCAGCAAAAATGATTCAAAGCAGTTTAAGGTAAGATTCTTAATCCCAGGTACTGTCTGCTGCTTCAGACTCAAGTTAAGTCAGATCCACCACCTTTACAACTTTTCTTCTCTATCCTGCATTTCACTTCTCTGGGTATGTGTGTGTGTGTGTGTGTGTGTATATATATATATACACACACACACACACACACATATATATATGACCTTTTCTTACAAATAAAAATGAAACAATTCTCATTTTTTTACTAGTAAAGCTTGCTTTTATTTTTAAATTTCACTAATAGCACACCACATGTTTGTACTAAGATTCTCAAGACATTCACATAACAGATACGCTATGATTCAGACTCTCTTTCCAGTGGGATCATCCAGAAGACCATGTTGTCAACTCATTAAACATTCCTATGCCTGTTTTAGTAGTTGCCATAAAAAAAGGGGGGGGGGAGGAAATCTGGAAAAGCAATGTAGCAGTTTAGAAGCGAAAGTACATTGAACTCTTATCTTTAACAGATTGTAACTAAAATACCAGAGATTTTACCCATGAACATATTTAATTGGAGAACGTGAATGATGACACCCAGCCCGAGAACGTGCTCAATTGGAGAATCTGGTTATGAGACACCCGGGGGGAGGGGAAAAACAGGGTCACAGGTGACTGTAAATTGCGTATGCCGGAGTTGACTTCATACAGGGCAGTGCTAGTATGTCACCTCTAATGAATCCTTTGAAGTTTTTGGAAGTTTGGCTTGAGATCATGATTTAATTAGAGCGATTGCTGGAATCCTGACAAAAGTGCTCTGTTATCCTGTATATTTGTCTTTTAAGAGAAAGGAGCTTTGGTCTCTGGAAATACACATTGAGATGCAGATAAGAATAATTAGAATCAAGCATGTCACTGTCTACTTCTGGTAGAAGTAGAAGAAAATTGTTGGTAACCTAAACCACAAAATTAAAGCTAACTTCCTTTGCACTAGGTTTATTTTTTTTCTTTCTGCAAAAAAGATTAAACCAATCTGGATGATCAAAGATGGCTCATTCTTTCACAAAATGAAATAAAATGACATTTATGCTTGACTCATGACAGAAACTTTAAGCAATCTGATGGTCCATGTATCATTTTAAGTAAAGTGGTTTGATAAACTTTTATGACTGTGGCCTGAACAGCTTCGTTATTGGTTTCTTTAACCTTTAGACCAAGGGTGTCAAATTCGATTGTGTTGTGAGCCGGATCGTGATGTATCATGGTGCTTTTTGCCTTTGCAGAGCTGGGGTGGGTGTGGCCTGCGCAGGCAATATGCAGCCCATGGGCCATCAGTTTGATAGGCCTGCTTTAGACTGATCAATTTAAAAATTATCCACTATGAGTATTGTTGGCAGAATAACAAAAAAATAAGGTAAGGTTTAGCACCTAGTAACTACGGGTAGTCCTCACTTGCCAAGTACAATTGAAACTACCAAGTCCATCGCTAAGCATCATGGTCATGAAGTGAAATGTTAGGTGACTGCTCTGGACTTATATCAATTCCAGTGCAGTCATTAAGTGAATTGCTGCAGATTGTTGAAATCTCACGATTGCAGCTTCCCCATTGACTTTGCTTGTTGGAAGGTGTCAAACTCGATTTCATTGAGGGCCGCATCAGGGTTGTTTGACCTCGGAGGGCCAGGGTAGGTGTGGCCAGCATGACATCAATCATGTCAGGGTGGCCTGAGCGCTCAGCTTCAACAGCCTCCTGCAACCCTCTACCAGTGAAAACAGAGCTCAGTTTTCACTGGCAGACACACCACGGGCCAGTTCTTCGCTGTGTCCAGGGCTACTCCGCGGGCCAGATCTAAACATCCCACGGGCTGGATCTAGCCTCCGGACCTTGTGACCCCCCTGGTTTAGGGGGTTCATATCATGTTAAGCTCAAGAGTCTCTTTTTGCATTGCCGACAAATCACTAGTTCATAACTTCTATAGAAGATCCATTCCTGTTTTTGTCAACATTTTTATCAATTAATACAATTTTATTTTTTATTTATAAGTAAAATAAAAAGAGAAATATTCAAATACAGCCCAGTATAGACCAAGGAACGCTGATTTATTGCTACTGTAGAAGACTAAAATGAGATAAAGCAGGGAGATGAAATATAATCTCTCATTTTGAAACTTGCAGGTTAAGAATTGAATTTACATGTTCCCGGGGTCATAAAGCTAGCCACAGAAACTGTTAGATAAATCCAAGATTTTATTGCAGTTTTAATTGCCCATCTCAAGCCCCTACATAAAAGCAAAGGAAGAATTCCTGTTTTAACCTTATTGTTCAGTGTTTAAAGCTTTAAAAAATCAACATTAATACGTAGTTCACTGAACCAATTTTAGAAATCTTTACACTTGTGTAAAGAAGTTTGGAAATGATTGTTTCTAGACAAATATATGAGAGCTTTACAGCATTTCTCATACTCAATACTTAACAATTCTGCAGCAATATCCAGATATTAAATATTATTACATTTAAGATTTGACTAATGCCCGAAGTTACTGTTCTTTGCATACCTGCCTAAAAAAATATATGCAGGCACCCTTAACAATCTGGTCCATGTTTACTTGCAAAGCCAAACATGGGTCTAGCCTATTTGTTCTTTATCAGATGCAGCAATCTACACAAATTGGTATGTAAAATTTCTCAGGCCCAATGAAGCATTCAGTTGAAGAATGTCTGTAGAGATTCTTAATCATCCAGGTCATGGTTGTCCCAAAGGTGCTTTTCAAAAAGCAACTAGACTTTCTTGGTTTCTTCCTTGAAGATGTTTTGCTTGTCGTCCAAGAAGCTTCTTCAGTTGATGAAGTAGTTCATGCTAGGGTTAAAAGTATAACTAATCTCATAAAAGTAAAAAAAATAAAATAAAGGCAGAATTTGAACTGCTTTTATAGAAAAATTGGTAATTCTACAAAATGTATTACAGGAATCTATTTGCTAATATAGATATTAGCAAATAAAGTATTTGTTAAAATAATTTTGGCTTCTTCTCAACTAAATGTAGATCGATTCTCCATGTAAATTTCAGGAACAGCCCAAAACTGTATCCTACCTTTATTTTAGATGTGCTCATATTCATCATCAGTAGACATTATTTTCCATCAGATCCTTTATCTTTAAAGTACAAAGGAATATAATTTGACAACTGAAGGAGATAACCATCATTTATATATTTATGGCTTAGATATACAGCAATCTGAATCAACTGACATTTAATCTCAGGAATCCAAAAATAAGCCAGATGAGATCCAAAATCTGTAAATAATTCTTTTCACAATTTATTTTCTGGCAACACTAGCTTCTGCAGAGGTTACCACAGCCATGATTCACAAACTATGGTCTACAGAGATCCACCAGGTATGCTGTAACTTTGGCTGACCACAGTCCAATTACTACCTTAGCCCTCAGGAGCTACCTGACTATCTCAGCCATCTTCCAATCTTGATCTCCAATCAACTGTTTGTTTGTTCATGACCTCAACTCCTGTGTCCCTTTCCCTGCCATTGATTTTCTTTGATGTCATATAGCTTTTCTGGATCCTATGTCATGGCGCCATTGGATCCTGGTTCTGAGGAGGAAAAGTTGGAACCCGGACCATCTGATAGAGATGGCACATCTCCCTTGGAATGTTTGGAGAGGCCAGGGGCTGAGGGCAACTGAGGGCAACTGGAGCTGCCTGCCCTCACAGAGAATCGGCTCCAGTCAGGCAGTGGTTCTGAGAGACAGCAGATCCCCTCTGATGAAGAATAGCTCCCTCCCCACTCAATCCAAGGGCACAGAGTAGAGCAGAAGACTTAAGGAGAAGCTGAGGGACTTTGTCTTTTGTCAGGAACAATTGTTCGCTTTGGCTTACACTACCACAAGCTTTGGAAAAACACTGCCTTGACTCATTTTTGTCTGGGCCTTGCCTTTGCCTCATGGACTTGCTTTGCCTTGTGGACTTGCCCGTCCCTGTGGAATTGCCTTGCCCTTTGGACCTTGACTCTGGCCTTGTCCCGTGAACTTGCACTTTCTCTTTGGACTTTGCAAACTGGTTTTTTACTGGCTTGTGTTTGTGGAACTGAGGGTGGCTCCCTTAAGGGAAGTATGTAGTAGAGACCTACCAGCTCTTGTAGGGCTGTTTGTTGTGGAAGTTAACAGAGCAATAAAGGACTCTAATGATGCCTGTCTCTGCCTAGTGATCTGGATCATAACAATGCTGCATGACTTCCATTTCCATCCAAAGATCCTTTTCTATAAAGAATGATAGCACTTGATCAGATGTTCCTTGATGCTTTCAGACTGGCTTACAGCATGACCAGGTGGTGGTATTTATTTCATTTTCTTCATATTAAAAGGGGATCAAGATTGTTTTTGGAAATGCAGGGAGATGTCCAAATATTAGTTAGAAACACAATTGCTGTATTTGTATGCTTCGAAGGTTCAGTCTGGTTTCTTTCAGTAAAATATATCCATTTATTAACTTTCACTAAAAATCCAAGAACATACATCAGATTAGTAAATAGATAGGAATTAGTTACTAATACTTTTTATCCAGATACAGATTTTTGTCTTTATCTGCAAACTGTGTTACATGACCTTTCAGTGTGAAATCGTAGTGTCATTCAAATGGTGAGAAAAAAATATTACCAGTTTCAAATACAGAGCTCCAATTTTGTGTTTTCGGAAGATAGTAGGATTTGGTAGATTATCCAGCTGTAAAAACATTTCACTTAGTCAGATAATTCACTTTTTTCTGTTTCCAACTGCTTAAGAGTCTGACACTTTTAACATTTTTAATGAATTACATCCGTAGTTAAAAAAAATAATTTAATCAAGATTTTTTGAGTGATTTTATTAAAAATTTTAAGGAAAATAAAACTAATGCAAATGTAAAAAAAGACAAAGAAATCAAAGAGAAAGGTTAAAAGTGCAAGAAAGGGGGGAAAGGAAAAGTAGAAAAGAAAGAAAAAAGATACAAAGTAGCTTCCGATCTTCTTTATAGCAGTTACAGATAGTACATGTCTTATGACATTCATTCAACAACAATTCAAAGTTATGATAGCCTTGAAAAAATTATTTATCATACTTGCGACCACTGTACCACCCTCATGATCATGTGATCACAATTCAGACGCTTAGCAACTGTCTCACATTTATGACCAAATACAGCATTCTATGATCATGTGACTGTGGTTTCCGACCTTCCCAGTTGGTTTCTGACAAAAAACAATTATGGAAGCTGAATTTGTTTAACAACCATGTGATTTTGCTTAATAACCACAATGATTTGTTTTATGACCACCATAAAAATGGTCATAAAATCTGGTCTAGTCACTTGATAACTTATGACTGCACCAGAAATTCTGGCCCCAATTGTGATCTTAAGTTGAGAACTACCTGTATAGCTACATTAATAAATTTACTCTCACTCTATAGTTACAATTTAATTCTATTCTTTCTATAATGTATCATTAAAAACCACAAATTATACGTTTACTTTTTGCAGAAAAAGTCCATAAGGGGTTTCTTGTCCGCAGGAAGCATAGAAATTGTCTTTTCGTTAAACAATTTTGCCATATCAGCAAGTTCCATTGTCTTTATCAAATATTCTTCTATTGTGAGTAATGCCGAATCTTTCTATTTTTGTGCATACAATAACTTTGCTGCATTTATCAAGTACAAAAACAAATTTCTAAGATTGTTTTCCAATTGTTTGACCATCAATTCCAAAAGAAAAGTCTTAATATTCCAGCTCTTTTACATATCCACCAACAATGTATCTTCTTGTTCACATGTCCAATTTTTCCGGTGACATATACTTATGAAACATCATTGTATAAAAAATATCTTTAAGATTATAACATAGTATAAATTTCAATCCTTTCAACCATGTTTTCCCATTGTTTCATTTGTTTATAATTAAAATTTTAGTCCACTTTTATCAAACATTCCAGAAATTGTTCTTCTATTTCACATTTCAATAAAAGTTTACACTTTTTAGCAATCACGTGTTCATCATTTGTACACAATTCTATTTCAAATTCAGCCTTATGATGTTCTTTTATCTACTTTAAATCTTTTTGGTAATTGTATATAAGAAACCACTGTCCCTCTGCCACTAGTTCTTCTTTATTTTAGATTCTTCCCAATACAATATTAATATCTCACAATAAGTTAGCCAAATTTATTTGCCTATTATTTCTTGTCTATGTTTGTTATGCTAAGAGGCCAGGAAGATGTTTTTGAGCACAACCTGATTTGTATCTCTTCCATTCTGAATATAGCATAAATAACAATTATTTTTCAAATCCAATTAACTTCAACTTTATTGTATCACAAATATCCCTGCCATCTTGATCTCATGTCATGTCCTTTTAACTCAAAAGCCTTTTATTTCTCAACACTAAGAACACTTACTCTTTCATCCAAACCAAACAGCAAGAGATCCTTCTTTCAAAAATGTGTGCATACACACGTTTCAAAAACTGTGAGAAGGGAGAGGGAAAACTCCATATCTTTTCCAATATGTGTCTTTTGTGGGCAAATTATATTGTTTTATTATTTTTTTCAATTAACGACTTTTTTACTTTTGGGGAGCATTTGCTACATTTATATTTTACATTAATCTCTTGTAATACATAATCACATGAAAAAATTAGAAAAACAATACTTGTAACACCTAATCCAGTACCATCCCTTTCAGTTTCTTCTTGCACTAGTTGCAGTTTTTGTGTCCTCTTTGACACTTTCATTTGAATCTCAATTCTTAGAATTTTTCTAGAAATTTCCACACTTCCTGGACAGAATTCAACTAAAATCTCTGTTATTTAAAAGTAAAATTTGTATCTTCCAATTTGTTCCATCAAAATAGGATCCTTTTCTGTTTTAATCTCTCAGTCAAAAAAATACACGTTTCTCTTACACAGTTATGATAGTAATTTAAGAGCAACTATATCTATATTGCCAGTATTTAATGCAAAACTTAATCCTTTTTTTTCCTGACAAAGTGCCAAAAGCATCTCTTAGAACATTTCTTGTTCTTGCAAAGATTGAATTTATTCTATACATTTTTATCGATTTATGTCTCTATATACTCCTTTGCCCAATCCAAAAAAATTGCCAGGACTTTAATAATCTCTCTAATATCTTCACTAGAATCCTATGGCCTTGCTCTAAGTCCTAAAACAAATTCGTATTCTACTAATCAAATATAGCCAGATTATCTAGTTCTCTTTCCAACACCCTCAGGAACTTCTGTCCTTCTCTCTAAAATGTATACTTTGTCGTTGATTTGTTTTCTCTCTCCAGACATTCGTTACAGCACTTTCCATCATCCTGGCTTCTTCTTTCATCTCCTCTTTCCTCTTTACAAGTCTTTAATCTATTTTTTTCTTAAGTGCTGTCAATTTAGTATCAAGTGATTCTATTTGCCCATTTGCTAAAATTATTTCTGAAGCAAACCTGGTGTAATTCCTGCAGGTTGCTCTAGTGATCTCCTCTCCTCTCCTCTCCTCTCCTCTCCTCTCCTCCATTCTTGCTGTTTTCTGATGGTTATCATTATATTATAATCAAAAAATGAAAGTGTCTTAAACAAGAGAAAATTAAAGGCAAGCTTCCTATATTTTTGTCTTTCTGTGCTTCCATCCCTAATAGCACTTAATTATATTCAACATCAACTCTATAATTACAATCAGTTTCATAGTCTGGCTTACTGTTACTTTTTGTTTTGTGCAATCCACCAATTATATGCATTCTTTAATACTAAACAAGAAACATTCCCACAAATGTGTAGTTCTTTTGGCTAATTTAATTCCAATGTGTTTAAAGCACTTTTGCCAAAAAAAATCTTTCAAAATAACCATCTCCTTTATCTGTTTTAAAAATTTCTTAAAATTTCCATGTTTGTCTTTACATTACATTCAAGGAAGTAGTGTAAAAACAAAGCTCTATGACATGTTTTGTTTTCCAAATGCTCCAAAGCCTACTGGAAGATTAAATATTTACTTAGAGCTGAGCTTAAAATTGTGAAGAACGTTTCAGCAAAAACTAATAGAACATTAAAAAAAACAGAGAAGATATGTTTTACTTACTAAAGTTTTCTGAAGGCTTCCAGTGGTGGTGATTTGTGTTTGTAAACATTAGGAAGAAATAGGCTTTTTTTAGAAAAACACTTTTTTCTGGCCAGAGGGAAATAAATATGGCACTATGACTTCTTTCTTAAGAGTATAATGCCATACAATGTACTCATAGAATAAGGCGGTATTCTTTTAAAATGTTCTTAAAAGATCCATTTTGAGAGCTGTGGCAATCAATCAACAAAAATTAATCAAATGTTCTCATAATTGCAACCTGAAAATTAAGTTGCAGTAACCATTCAGATTATCTCTAATTTAAGGAAACAGCTATTCAGAAAATATAGAACTTACTATCTTCTTTGAGGAAATGCCATTGATAAAATATATATTGATATTTAATGAGCCAAGAGACAAAATTTCTTAACTTTTTTTACTTTTCTTGAAACATAAAATAAATCTGAATAAAATATAGTGCTTGAAATCATGACAGAATAAAAATATTCTCTAGAATTGTAGTCTTCATCTCAAAATCTTACCACAGCTTCTAACCTCTAGAGTCAGGTCAGGAATGGGACAGTCCTTTAGGATTTTTCTTCTGCTGGTTTCTGTTCTTACTCCAGGTGAACAATCACTTCCTTTATGACTAAACAAAAATATATTTATATAAGAAAAATCCTCTATAGAATTTTATTACAAAAGATCTTAACAGTTATGTATCACAAATTCATTAATTCATTCATTTATGATTATGTTGTAGCAAATGGGGATGGTCAAAACAACAAATCCTTAGAAAATTACTGATGAAAACAAAAAAAGTTATGTTTGCACAAAAATAACTTTTTTTGTTTTCATCAGTAATTTTCTAAGGATTTGTTGTTTTTTCATTCCCATTTGCTACAACATAATCCTTTTCAAACATCACTGTTTTCTTCTAGAGGAAGGCCATTATTTAAAAAATTCATCTTATCTAAAGCACTGTCCTTCTTTTGGTATCAGTGAAGTTCTGATCAAACCTGACCGTGAGACCACTTTTAACAAAACTAGGAGAAAAGACAAATAAGCTAGTACTGCTATCTAATAATTCTATTTGGGGCTCATCTCTGAGTGATTACCTATAGGATACCTCCCACTTCTGTAGTTCATTGAATTCCTGAATTCCAGCCATATGAGGCAAATTTGGGCAAGTGTGTAAGAGGTTATCATTTGCACTGTGAGCATCATTCCCAAGTAAAATTCAATTTCACTCTTTCAGAATAAGCAAAAATATCAAACGAATCTGAAATTACTAATTATTATTTAAGGTTTTGCTTATTTTGAAGTTGTGAACTAACCGAGACATAATTAAAGTTACCGGCAATTACAGACATGCTAGTTTATTTGCAAAAATGTGTGAAGGAAGGATAAAAGGATTGCATGTGGAAGGAAATATTTTTTTCATATTCCAATTTACTAAGCCAAGATTATGATATCAAACCTTTTTGTCTGAGATTGTTAATTGTATCAACATCTAGAAACATACCTAAATTGAGTTAAAAGTTCTCTCTTCACTTTGGGGATTTTTTTGTGGGTTGTCTTCTGAAGATAATTCCTGGCCTTTTTTCAAATGATTCATCTTCAGGCTATGAATTATTTTATCAAATTCGCCCTGTTTCTCCTTTAAAGCTTTCATATTCGTTTCCAGTTCAGCAACCTTGTTTGCAGTGTTTTCTTTCACTCTGCTCAGTTCCACAAGCAACGGGTCCTCCTCTTTTCGTTTCTTCTGCAGCATCTCCACTAAATTGAAGTGGTGGAGCGAGGTACAAAAGAATATCTTTTTAATATATGTATTATTAAGGTAATTAAAATTATAAGTTTTAATGTTCTTAGATCCAAGATGCTTGGTATGTATTAAAAGTAATGTTGTCTACAGTGATACAGATATATAATCCACTCTTTAGGATCATATAGTCTTAAATTTACAACTGTTGTTCAGTAACTGTCCAAAAGTTACGATGGCTCCTTAGAGTTCTGGCTATCACAGCATTCCCATGGCCATGTGATTGCAATCAGGGTGCTCAGCACCTAGTTCACAATTACAACATCACAGCAAGCTGCATTCATGTGACTGTGATTTCCCCCATTCCCTGCCAGCTTCCCAAAAGTGAAGTCGATGATAAAATTGCAATCACACGATGACACATAGTCCTTGTATAACTTATGGCAACCTAAACTACTGAAATTGCCATTGCTAAATTATGCAGTCATGTCACATTGCACTCTACTACCGTGTTGCTTGCTATGGAGTTCCTAGTCCTAACTGCATTGTAATCTGGAGACTTTCTATAGTACTATGAGATGTCTTCAGAATGAGATAAAATATAATTACACACTTTCCAGGGGATTGTGCAGTATTCAGCACTATTACTGAGTACTTGGGGGGGGGGGTGTCAAAATAAGAGGAAATGATACCTTGCTGTTTTGAAAGCCTATCTAATTCAATCTTCAGATAAAAGAGTTTCTTATGTTGCGATTCTTTTTCAAGCTCCAACTTTCTTCTTTCGTCTATTATTACCTGAAAATTTGAGAAGGAATTAGCACATTAAAATATGCCATTTCATTGATCAAAGTAAAAGCAACCCTACAAGGATCATTATGGCAAATTTCCAATGTGTCCCTGCATCCAGTCTTTTTATATTATTATATGTAGCAATAGCACTTAGACTTATATACCGCTTTATAGTGCTTTATAGCCCTTTCTAAGTAGTTTACACAGTCAGCATATTGCTCCCAACAATTTGGGTCCTCTTTTTACCCTCAGAAGGATGGAAAGCTGAATCAACCTTGAGGCTGGGTGGATTGGATCTGCAAAATTGCAGTAGAAGTCGCTTTCAGAATGACACTCTAACCACAGTGCCACCGAGGCTCATATATTTCAAATTATATTTAGTGCAATTTATCTCTTACTCACAAGAGTAAGAGTATAGTATATTATATAGCATGTTCATTTTTCCACTAAAATAGCACGTCGTCTTACTTTATAAAATCCACCTGAAGTTCTGTAATTCGTAACAAGGGAGGAGGGGACAAACAAGCCATGACTTAACAAAATGGAAGTGTATGTAACTGTACCGGAGTCATTACACCGAAGCACATGTAACAAGCCTGGAATATATTCTTAATTTGTAAGGAAATAACTTCTTTAGGACACGTAAGACAGTGAATTTTCCTTTGGAAGCTAGAGGCTGAAATCCACCACGAGATGACAAATCTGTGTTGTTGAATTTATGTGTTGCAAATCCTTAACATCAACAAAGGGGCAGGACAGAAGTTGTACAAGATGATGATGGAAGGAGCTAGGTATCTGAAGAATCCAACTCTTTTCAAATCAATAAACTTTGGCATAAATATTTGTCATACTTCAAGTACTTGCAACATTTAGGCTGACCCAGGAGAAAATCTAAATTCATTATTATGGACAGGGTAACAAATATTTCTGCTTACTAATGGGATTATCAGTACATTAGAGTGGAATGGCAAGAATATCCTTCCTACTATTTTTTTAAAAAATTGGTAATCCTGTTTTTTCTAATAATAATTCTGTCTCAAATGTTTGTTTTCATTTGCAAAGAACAAATATGCAGATTTTCACCTAAAGCTTATTCATTCCGTTTATTTTACAAGATTGATAGATTTAATATCCAAAAAATGGAACTGAAACAGTTAATAACCGTAAGGCTATAATGAGACTTCAACAGACTATACAACATCAAGTGCAAAGACTGGTAAACTCATTAAAACTATTTTGAATTGGAGAATAACAGCAACATTCTACCTCTATCTATAAATTTTATACAAGCCCCTGGCTTCTGTTGCCAAAGACTCCTGCAAAACATTATTTTATTTAGAATATATTAAAAGACTTAATAGCCCGCTTTTTTCAATTACTTGGTTGATGAAATCAATGTAGGCAGAAATAAGTATTATATCTTATGGTAAGTAGTGATAAACTGTCCATTCTTTAAGATGCAGTATCACCAAACCTTAAAAAGTTTTAATAGTCACATCTCTGTCAGCTTACCACTGATCAGACACTAATGATGCAGAACATTTGACATGCCATTTGTTATATTTTTTGTACACATTCATTTTTATTATTAGTGTTTTTAATTAGTGTTTATTATTAGTATTAGTTATTAGTGTTTGTTAGTTACTTTTTTCTTTATTTTAACTTTCGAAATAAAATTTAAAAAATATGAAGTGGCTATCGTTGGAGCTAAATGTCCTGGACAACTTTTGTCCAGTCTCCAACATCCCCTTTCTACTAAAGATTGTTGAAAAGAGGTCAGTTGTAGTTTCAGAAAGCCATGAAAGAAATGGATTGTCTGGTCCCATTTTAGTTGGGTTTCAGGCCTAATTCAGTATGGACACGGCACTGATCATGCTCAATGATGAGCTCTGGGGATGCAAGGATGCAGATGGTTGCAACCAATTTGGCCCTACGTTTTTCTCAGCAATTTTTGGTACAATTGATCTTGACATCCTTGTAGACCAGTTGAGAATACAACTTGAGAATACTCTCCACAGCCAGTTCAAGGCAGTGTTTTGAGAGGGAGAGAGTAGACTAAAATTCAAATCCTTTGATTTATAGATTGCCAGAAGTTTGATGCTCTTGCTCCTCCTGCTTAATATGAGGTTGCATGAGGAAGAGGTCATCAATCAGTTAACCTCAGTTCAGCATCAGGTATCATGAATACATGGATGTCACTCTACTGTGAATTTCAATCCATGAATAAAAAAAAAATGTTGCCAAGGTTTCCTCCCAGTGCTTGGAACAGCTGGAGTCTGGATGGGGAGAAACAGTTTCAAGTTCAATTCTACCAAGTCAAGTGGTTTGGACCTCCTTGTTCAAGAGATTCCCAAACTCAAGTCCTGAAGGGGGTGCCACTAGGGGAAGTCTTCCTAAATTCTCAACTCCTTCTCAATGATCCCAGGTAGCTAGGGCTTTGCACAAATACAATATGTATGGCAGTTGCACTCATTTCTGGACCAAGAAGCCCTCATTAGTTACTCATATCTTGGAGGAGAACTATGGTAGCATGGTCTGTGGTGCTGTGACACTCACCTCAATGCACACGCAGATGGGGGTTGTGCACACACTCCAGCCAGCTACTGACATGGCCCAGGGACCAATAGACAGTGTTTTTATGTTTTAAAATTATACATTATAACTGATAAATAGAGACCTGCATTGAATAAGTGTTTGGACTAGTCAATTTCTAAAGTCTATTCTAAATCTATTTCTACGATTCTATGGTAATTATAAAATCAGCAAAATACTCACCTTGAGCTCCACAGAATTTGCTTTTATTCTTCGCCTGGCCTTTCTTTTAGATGACTTGGATAACTGAGGCTGCTGACATGAAGGAGCAGTGGTAGAAGCACCTTGAAGTTGCTTGGAATTGCTGATGGTAATTGTTTTAATGATTCTGAGGTTGGGATTCGTACATTTGTTTTTTAGCTTGGCAACCTCAGGTTTATTTGGACATACAGAGCCCACTTGCTGAGCAGACCAGTCAGAAGTTGTATAACCCATATTGTGCTGGTATACATCATAGACAGGTAAGGCTGGGAGAGCAGCAGAGTTTGGGAAGAACTGAGTTGGAGTAAATGAAGAGACATATGGAACATTATGACAGAAACCAGAGATGGGCCCAGGAGGTGGAAGAAAAGAAGGTGGAGCTGATGGGGTTAAAAATGCTGGAACACCAGATTGCTCGCACATATCAGTAGGTTTATTTTGCCCTGAAGTAGCGATGTTATTATAGTCAGATTTTAAAACAGGGGACACAGCTTCAGGTGATGGGAAAGAATCAGATGACGATAGAGAATGTTTCTGCCTCTCCCACAATTTTGCTTTATGATTTCCCACTGAATGATGATGAGAATAAGCTGGTTTTTTCCCATGAAGTCTTTCTTCTGTGCGAGCAGCAAGCTTATCTATTTCAGCCATTCCAATGTCCAAACCAATAGTTTTAAGCAAGTCACGGATCTTTTCATATTCCACTCTGGACTGTTCCAAATTCTCTGGTTTTACAGACTGTTCCAAATTCTCTGGTTTTACAGACTGTTCCAAATTCTCTGGTTTTGCAGGAGGTAGAGAATTTACTTTCTCACTTACAGGTTCTTTCTTTTCACTCATCATTATCTTTTGAGAGTAGAGACAGTTGTTTGAATCACCATCATCATCACCATAAAGAAATTTCTCTTCATCTTCTATATTATCAGGGAAGGGATCCAATATTTTTTCTGGAACATACGTAGAATCAGTTGTTCTACCTAGAATGCATGAAAAACCACTTCCATCTTGACTAGCTCTTTCATGAGGCTGCAGGAAGTCACGACATTGATTGACAGATTCTGATGCTGACTCAGGAGGCTTCTTCCCCTTTGAAAAATTTCCAGAGTCCTGTTCAAAAGGAAAAGCATTTGTTCCTTATCAGGTCTGTTGCACTGAAATACCTTACTACAAACAAGTTATTGCTGAACTGAAGAAACTCTGAAGAAGAAGAATTGATGAAAATAAGTGATTGTGTAAAAACTGTTACCAATAAAAAAATATCTGAAAGAAAGGAGTTCATTTATAGTATAAAGAATTGTTAGAAAAGAATCTAGGCTTTAAAAATGATCTTGCGATATTAGTTTATAAGATTAATCAATATTTCAACTCATAAAACAGATCATTCTTGCATATTTACAGCTAATAACTTGGAAAACGGTAAAAGAGAAGAAAAATGAAACTGAGGCAAAGAGATAAGTTCTCAAATATCACATATTGTGAGTATTTCATTAGGGCTAAGGCAAGGTGCAAAAGTACTACAAAAAAGTTATCAGAGGAAGACAAATAACATGCTTCCCTTGCTCAGCAGGCCACACTAATACAAGATGATCTCGCTATATTGTACTAATCAGCAATAAAATTGCCAATGCAATAATAGGTCACTCTAGCTATCTTCTATAAGATGCACATACTATGTCACCACCCAGGTTTGGTCAGAGTTAACCATTCAGTGAAATGGCTTTATTCTCCCCCCATGATATGCTCATAAAGTCCAGTTTTAAGTTGCAATGCAGCATCAGTATAATCATGCCATGATCTATGATTATTTTGTAATCACTGAGCAAGGAGAAGGAAAAACAGCACATCAAAAGAGCAGCAGAGGAAACACAAAATGGGTCTGAACAATAACAGAATTTGACAGGTGCCTTTCTGAAGCATCTCAAAAATCCAAAAAAGTAGCCAAATGCTCCTAAGTCAACAGGCAATATTATTTATGACTGCTGCATGATGCAAATTCACAAAAGCATGGTGCTTCTTCTTTCAGAAATGAACAGTTATTTATCTCTGTTTTGAAACTATGTTGGGAAAACAAGGTGACTTGATAATTCAGTTTCAAATAGTTTTTAAAAATTAATATTTGTAGAGATTTCTTCAGTTTCAAACACTGAAAAATTCTGCACTTGGTTTTCTAGAAACGATTTAGGAACCTTCCAACCTACATGCCTGATGCTAAAAGTTTTAATCTAAACCATGAAAATCCTCAGCAAGCACCCTCCCATTCCTCCATAATCCCACCTTTCAGAACAGATGCCTCCCTGTATGACAAGCCATCTCATGCTCCTTGCAGAGCAAAATAAGGAGCAATTGCTCTTAATTCATCTTGCATGAGGAAAAATATTACTGATGTGGCTTCAAGGTTAAAAACCAGAAATCCCCATAAGTGCTCTAAAATTACTATATCAAATGCAGCTCCTTTATGTTATCCTCATACAGATGCCAAAATGCTAAAATAAAATGTCTAATGATAATACATCTTAACAAAAGTAAGTTACTGGTTTTAAATTTAAAACAAATAAAATGCAAACTTTCTAATCCAAATGAAACCCAAGATGCTGTCAATACTAAATCAATTCCAAGACAGGCAAAAATGTGTGATATTGTTCAAAGCATTTATTCCAAAGATCTACATATAGACAATTAAATACTTATATTTAAATTAGGAAAAAGACAGAAAACGGACAGATTAACAAATAAAGTGAAGAATTCAGTTCAAACCTGTATAGAAGAATCATCTGAACGTTTCTTCAGTATAGATTTAAAGGGCACTGCTGGTGTTTTCTCAGGTCTAGAATGGTGTCGAGATTCAGAAGTCTGTTCTTGATTAGTTGAATCAGGAATTGGGTTGTCAGTACTAATGTTACTGCTTCGCAAATCCTCTTCTCGTTTTCTCCTAATTCTTTCAAGTTTACGAAAATCTTCATCCATGTATATCAGGCTTGGGCTTCTATTAAGGCTTTGTTTACAATACTTCTCTGTTTCTGCCAATGAAGCCTGAGATTTTATGCTTTCATCAAAGAGTCTATCTTTTCTGTCATATTGAAAGTATTTTGATTCTTGCTCCCCACCCCTCTTATTTTCTCTTGATTGATGCTGTAGAAAGTCACTGTTTATGCTTCGGTCCAGTTGAGCTATGAAAATGTCCCTATTATAAGAGTCCTCATCATGTCTCATGCTGAATGGTCTTGAAGGATTCTCCTCACGAAAGAAACCTCTATCAAGATTCCGAGGATGTGAAAGGGCTCTGCCGAATACTTCACCATCACCCAAGTCATCCCTGATGAGAGAGGCACAACAGTTACAACATCAACTTCATATAAATCTCTGGAACTTAGGTTAGCATAGTTGACTGATTTAGCCAATACCTTTTTATATTGAACCCAATATGGTTAGTTCTGCAGGGTCTGCGTCTTTCAGCAACAGCTTTACCTTCCTTCTCAGACTATATCGCTCTTCCAGAAATAACCTTTTTGACATTTGTAATTTATGAGCATAAGGGACATAAAACAAAAACAGGCAAGAGCGCACTGTCACAGAAATAGAAATGTGCTCCAGCTCCAGATGTCAGCAAAGTATGTATTATGTATCTTGTATTAAATCACTTTCAAATGACTAAGTTGGTCTTAACAACCCATGTAAGCCATAGTTTTTATTTTTTAAATAATGTTTGTGTTAAATCTTTAATAATCAGTTATTGTGTATTTCTTTTCATTTATTATTGTAAGCTGCCCAGAGTATATATTTTGTGATACAACAGCTATAAAATTTCATTAATAAATAAGTATATTTATATAAATAAATAAGTTGTGTGAAGTATACACACAACCTCAACAACATGTCTATAGCAAATTTGGACAATAAAACGTTTTAGTCCATTTTTAAAGTAGAAGCAATATTCTAACATTTTAACTGATTAACAGCAACAATAGTATTTATCCTACAGATCTTTGAAATGTTTCTTTCTATTCTATTTTCCTATATTAAATCAACAAGGAAAAATGTGTAACTTGCTACTAAAAGTAACTATCACGAATATTTTTCTAATAAGGCCTAACCCTAACCCTAACCCTGGCCTTGCTCTATGTATTTTTTTTTTTAACTAATTGTTGCGGTACTTCAAAAAAGTTAATTTTTGACAGCAGTAGGTAATATATCCATATAAGAACTGTTATGTTATCAGTTCAACGTACATCTTTCAAAATACAATGAACTTCTAATGTTTAAAGTGTACAATTCACAATTACAAATTATACTGATTTATTATGGTGCAATAAGCACAGAATACAGGTAGTCCTCAACTTACAAGTTTGTTTAGTGACAGTTCAAAGTTACAACGGCACTGAAAAATATGACTTAGGACCGTTTTTCACACTTATGACCATTGCAGCATCCCCATGATCACATGATCAAAATTCAGATGCTCAGCGACTGGTTCGTATTTATAACTGTTGCAGTATCCCAGGGTCATGTAATCACTTTTTGCCACCTTCTGACAAGTAAAGTCAAAGGGAAAGCCAGATTCACTTAACAACCAGATTACTAATTTAGCAACTGCAGTGATTCACTTGACAACTGTGGCAAGAATGGTTGTAAAATAGCACAAAGCTCATTTAACAAATGTCTCACTTAACAACAGAAAGTTTGGGCTCAATTGTGGCCATAAGTTGAGGATTACCTTTATGCATCACGTAAACTTCTTACACCTCAGATAGGAGAATCTCAATGGCATATGCATAGCCTTGAGCAGTAAAACAATTACATTAGGATACAGGTAATCCTCAAATTATGACCTCTCTTTTATCATCCATTCAAGATTATAACAGCACTGAACATGGGCAACTTATGACCTGTCCACAAAGTTGTGGTAATTGCAACATCATATTATTGAAATGTGGGTACTTGGGTGCCCAGCTCATAATTATCATAGTGAATTGCAACCATATGATCACCATTTGTAAGCTTCCCAGCTGGAACCAAAGTCAATGGGGAAGCTGGCAGGGATGGTTGTTAGTTGCTCACATTAGTTGTTCTCACTGCTTTTTCTCCCAAGGAGCCCTACGTGGGAACTTCAGGGATCTTGTACTTTGCAACAACCTCACATAGACATCTTATTTGCCAAATGCAGCCATTCTGGGATTGGGAGGTCTTGTCACAATCACTAATCCCATCATTTTCTGGTTGGCAACACTTTCTAGATGGGGCTTCCTTTGTAGACTAACTGGAAATTACAATTGATTCAGAATGTGGCAGCATGCAAAGTTCTGACTGCCCTACAGTTTTACCATATTGCACTGCTGATGGAATATAATCGGCAATAAGAGTAATATTGAGGAATAGGAGACAGGAGCCGCAACCAAGACATTGATCAGAAAAAAATAAATTTTAGTCTGAAATGTAATTTGAGAAGAATCTCAGGCTTGATCCTTACTAGTTCTCTCAAAGATAGGGGTGGAGGGGAAAGAGTGCATTCAGACAAGTTCTGTTATCATAACCTTATAATTAAGGCAGCATTAACATATGTAACATTGGCTCCTGCTCTGGTCTTCCTTGAAAAACTGACAGTGAGCAGGGATGATTTTCAGTTTCTTCCTGTTGCAGTTCAATGCTAGTTATCACCTTTAAAGCTTTAAATGGCATAGGATCAGGCTTCCTATAAGACTTCATCTCTCTGAGGGGTTTGGCCCTTCCACTTGATCAGATACAGTGAGCACTCCACATTGTTTCTTTTAAACTTTGTCATCTAGCAGGACCAAGGAAATGCACCTTCTCTATAGTTGTCACTGCCCAGCATAAGACTCTTTCCCCAGAGATCTGGCAGGACCTCAAACATTAGTTCTTACTTTTAAGAAATGTATTTGCTTTTATTATTATTTTAATGCCTCCTATCAAAGAGTGAAAATTAACAAGGAATACAAACTTTTAAGTCATGAAAAATATCCTCTTAAGTGGTTATTGTAGAACTAAAAAATAGATTTACTACTACAAGCATTTCTTAATAACAGGACAGAGTACATTATATTTATAAGCAAACTGCATACTTTATCATCAAAATGCACCAACTTTGCCACTAATTACAGGAAAAAAATAAGATAAAGATTTATAAAATTCTAAAGAGAAATCAGAGATTGCAAAGAAAAATATATTTCAAAATTGAACAGTATACCTATTTTGATCCTGGTTTATAAACTTAAATGCTGCTTTTAAGATTAAATTGTATTTGCATCTCAGACTTTGTTTCTTAAACATGCACTGAAATGCACTACAGATTTATGTAGAAATGAACAGAAACTGACATACCAAAGTAGAGTTAGAACTACCTGAAACCAAGATAAATCAAAGTACATAAATCAAGCTGTTAAGAGAATTTTGCCACATGAGATTCTGATTCAATATTCAGCATTACTGCTGCAACTGCTAAAGAGATCTGAAAACAACTGACAGTCCCAAACATTTAAGGATTCTTATCTAAAACCTCCTCCAATTGCAATATTCAACTTGAAATTTTAATGATATAGCCCTTTGGTTTTTACAGTGCTATATTGTATTTTTTAAGTTACCCTGGGTTGCAAGAGATTGAGGTGGCCTATAAGCCTCATAAACAAAAAAATATGAATGTGTCCTAAGATGAGGAATGTATAATATAATCCATCCAATATAAATTTTCCAAACCGTCTCATAGCAAGACATCATTTTATTTGATACAATAGGATACAAACAAACAAAAAATCACAATTTTGTGAGGCTAGTTTTCAAAGAACCGTACCTGTTTACATTGCTCAGACTATTAGCTGGTGAGTTTGTGCCAATACCATCCTGGCCATTTTCAACTACGGCCCGCAAGAATTTTTCCACTGAAGATTCAGAACGTCGGCATGGAGAACGTGAACGCTCCCTTGGAGAATATGAGGGCGAATATCTCTGCAATGAGGGAAGGAATAGGCCGTTACAATATGCTGTTTGATAAAACAAACAGGCTTTGTATCTTCCGTTGTTGCAACAAACCTTAAAACTGGATATATTATGTAAAAGTTAAGAGAAAAACAGTTAAAAGGCGGCTATATTATGCAATGTAGCATTTTAATAAGTGACTGTTAATGTGAAACACATAGCTCACATCTACTTGTTATCTGAATTAAGATATGAAAATAAATGTTTCAACAAGCAAGGAAAGAGTTATTTAGAAGGGTTATAAATTTTCACTAAAAATTTGTAGCTCATGATGTGGAATGGTTTTTTTCATCATTTCACATTTTTTGCACAATTTATTTTCACAGAAAAATTTATACGTATAGAAATGCCTCCTTCTCCTTCTTCTTCCTAGTGTATTCCCAAAGGTGCAGGGTCCACTTTTCAGATCACTGAATGCCACTTTGCATGGTCAGCTGCGTCTCTAGGGTACAGGCCCGCAGCTTGCGTATCTTAGTTGGTGGTATCTTGCCATCTGTTTTGGACGCCCACGAGGTCACCGGCCATTTCTAGTTGGCAGTCTTGGCCATGGTGTAAGGTGCTGCTCTCTGGACATGTCTATACCAGCAGAGGCTATAATTGGTGCCACACCAAAATGTTGTCAAATGGTGTCATTTGTGATGTGGTCAAGAAGGGAGATGCCTGATATCCAACGGAGGATTCACATTTCCATGGCATGGAGAAAGCTTTCAGTCCCTGTTGTTACTGCCAAGCATTCAGTGCCATACAGTGCAATAGGGTGGATGGTAGTCTTGTGTATCTTAGATTTAAGACGGGTTGAGTTCTCGCCAATGCATCCAGGCTACATTCACCCTTGCTCGCACCTCACCATTGATGTCGCCATTGCCCTAGAGATGGGATCCCAGATACCGAAAAATGTCCACCTTCTTTAGGTTTTCTCCATTGATTTGAAGCGTTCCAGGAGTGGTAACAGTCTTTGAATACCAGAAATGCATTGTTTCATAAAATTGACACAAACGTAACATGCAAGAATAAATACATCTTTGAGAAGGAGGGTTCCACTGAGTTTTAAGGTCCATCTCCAATCTTTCCTGTTTAGGGAACACTGTGTCTTAAACATTAATTTGATCCAACTTAATTTTTGAATTGGATCTATTTTCTGGATTATATCACTCCAAGACTAAGTCGAAAAGGTTAAGTCCAAAAAAGTCCTAATGTATTTTTTTTAGAAAATTTATACTCACAAATTGGTATGTTGTTGTATAATACAGAAATTACATCTTTTATCATGTGACAGAGAAAATATATAACTTTGTTCCTTTCACATACTAAGAACATTATTGACAAAACAATGAGATTGAATAATTGTCCTTTTTCACAATATCTTTGGCTTCCAAGATGGAAAAAATGACACAGAAAATGTACAGTTCTTCATGGGGATACATGAAGTTCTACTAAAGAAACAGAAAACCAAAATAATATAGATCAATCACTAAAAAAGTATAGCCCTGGTGTCAGGGTTCTGACAATCCACCCCCATTCAAACCAGGAGTCTCTAGCCACATCTCTCAGAGTTTAAAAAAACCATTTATTAGGAGTGAACATGCCAGCGTTACTTGGGTGCAACCGATTCGGAGACTCATTCATCTCACCCTTGGCCCTGGTCTTCCCCCACCACCAGGATGTATATTCTCCAATGGGATACATCCATAGCCAAAAGTCATCAATCATGATCTTGTGCAACAGAAGCTTTGGATGCCTAGCAATTATCTATGAAAATATTTAAGGCATGAATTACTTTCCCCACTCCCTTTCTCTGACAATTCTAAACGACCAGAGAAATATTTTTGAGTTGACACTTGGTTCTGAAGCTTCAAATATTAATTTATGTAAATCATTTCTACAAAATAAATCCAACGAAGTGCATAATGCCAAATACGTAAACAAAAACAGGGCTATCATTTCAGAGGAATATAGGTAGTCTTTAACTTAGAACAGTTCATTCAGTGACTGTTCAGTTACAACCACTGAAAAAAGTGACTTATGATCCTTTTTCAGTTACAACTTTTTTATCATCCCCATGATCATGTGATCAAAATTCAGGTACTTTGCAACTGGTTTATATTTATTGCTGTATCCCAAGATCACGTCAACATCTTTTGCAAATTTTTGACAAGCAAAGTCAATGGGGAAGCCAGATTCACTTAACAACCGGGTTACTATCTTATTAACTGCAGTGATTCACTTAACAACTGTGGCAAGAAAGGTCATAAAATGGAGCAAAACTCAACTTAAATGTTCCACTTAACAGACGTTTTGGGCTCAACTGTGGTGGCAAGTCAAAGACTACCTGTACATGATCATGGAATTGACTATGACAACACGGTGTGCTGTTTTTAAAAAAAGGTTTGATATTTTTTTTCAGTATATTACTCAAATAACCATATTATGCTTCACATTTCAATCTTATTACACATCCAGCTCATTCGACTGCTTACTAATCTGCTGCAAAAGATGCAACCTTATTCACAAGTTCAACAAAGTATTGAACCTTTCCAACATCTGTGTATAACTGAAAGCAAAAAAAAAGTGATCCCTCTATGTAAAAAGGAACTTTCCATATATTAATGCTTACTCAGAAGTAACTCCTACTTAATTTAATCAGTATTTCGAGGTGGCAAAGCATGCCTAGAGTAGATGTCATATTAATAATTTACTTTGCAACTTTTCTCTTCCTTTCCCATTGCCGTCAAGTCAGAACCTTCCACTAAAAAAACAAACGGGTTCTCCGATACGGTCGGGCGGAAAAAGATTTGCAAATATAATTATGTAGCTTGGGGGATGTCAATAGACGGTTCGGCCCTTGCACAAAATGGGGGAAGAGGAAGGCGGACGACTTTCCGAAAAGGACGGAACGGGGGCTGGGGAGGGAAGCAGGCTCCCCCCGCCTTCGCCAAAAGCTAAAAGCACAGATATGGGACCGGAGACGGCAGGTAGATGAAAGGAGGAAGTTCCAACCGAGCGTACCCTGCTGAAATGGCGCGGGGAAGGCGAGCGATACGAACGATGGGAAGAGCGACGGCTAGGCGGGGAGCGATGGTGGTGGTGGTAGCTGCGGTGACCCCGCGGGGAGGGCGAGCGGGAGCGTGGACCACACCCGCGATAGGAGTCGATGGAGCCGAGCCGGGACCGTTGAGCTCTCATGGCCGGGGGGGTGGGGGTGCTCTCAGGACCAGGCAAGGCTGATGGCCTGAACGACTTCAGGGGTCCATACAGGCCTCGCTCGCACCTCCTCCTCGCTCCTGTTTAAGCGTCTGCGGAGCATTTCCCCCTCGCCGAGATGCGTGCGCCTGCGCACCGAGCGCAAACGCCGGATGTGCCGTTGAAGTTACACAGCGGCTTCGTCCTTATAAAATGGCGGTGACAGAATTAAAATCACGTGGCGGGAAGGGGCGTGGTTGAAAGGCAGCAGGAGGGAAAACGGCGCTGGAAGGATGGGCGGGTGGTTGGAGGGTAGGTGTCCGTTATTCGACGAGGAGACACTATGATTGCCCTTCAGTTATCAGTCCGGCAATGATCAATCCCCTGCTTTTATAGGCATCTATAGCGCGTATAAAAACCTTAAAGGAGGAGAGGCATGTTGTGTAAGTGATTCTGCCCTGCGTCGTAGCGTTACAAAAAGGGAGATTCCAAACGATCGCTTGCTGTAGTTAAAGCCAGAAGAGGAGGAGCAACCAAAACGTCTCCTGCTCATTTTAGGAATATTAAGGGGTTTTTTTTATGGCAAATATATAATACCTGGCTTGCGCTTAGTAGGAGAAAAGGTCTGTCCTCATTTGGTCTCATGAAATTGTTGTCCCAGAAACCCTGGGAGTTCGTGATCTGACATGTTCCGCCCAGTTACTGGATGTTTATTAAATTTTACGACACCCACCAGATGTAGACATCTTTTTAAAGCTATCATAATGAAGCTGTTTGTAACTTAAAGGATAATGATGTCTTTCCATCATCCAGTGCACACTTCCAAGTGTCAATAAAATTTATATCTCAGGGTTGAACTGGAGTCTTTGGTGCTTTCTGAGTGTGGTTGTTTCAGATGTTTCATTGGGTAAACATCTGCAAGAAAGCAACCAAGCTCAGAGGGCCCCACACTGAAATTTCCCCGTCTACAGGCCTACTAAGCTTAGTATGCTTGCATCTAACCTTCAGCCCAACTTTTTTTCTTTCAAGTCAAGAGGATGTTGCTTTCATGTTGCCCCTTGTTCATGAGAGAGAGATCTAAATTGTCTACCTGCATTCACCTTTGAGCAATAATTTGCTTTTTCTGACACCCTTCAAGAACAGGGACTATAAAATCTATATGGTTCTACCATTACTTGTAGGTTAAATCAGGCAATCATGACTTGAAGCAGAGGCAGTAGTACCAGAATAAGGATTGATAATGAGGACAGCAAATGTTATACTGACATATTTTCCTGCCAGCTGTAGGGTGGATAAATAATATCCAATACAGCAGTGAAGAAAGGCCTTGAAATTCTTCTTTCTATGCACCAGAATGAAATCTCTTTATCAATCTTGAACATCCATCTTATGACTTCAAAACAAATAATATATTCTACAGCAGACTGAGGGGAGCTAAGAGGTGATAAATGCCGTGCCTATGTTAAAAAATTCAGGGATATGAAAAGAGGCATTTTTCTTGGGTTGAGGTGTGCCATCATTTTGGAGGAAGCAAACAGCAGCCAAGACCAGTAAATAGGATAATTGCCCATCATTGCTTGCTCCCAGTCCCTCTTCATGATCACATGACAGGGATCCTGCAACAGCCCCAATTTTGTGAATAAAACTGGTCCGAATAGCATGGAAATTTAAATTCCATAATGATGGGTCCTGAGGTTTTTTATGCATTTTTAAGTTAAAGATTTTCAGGTACTGATTCAAAAATTGTTGTGATACAATGCACTATTTGGGTTCATATGAGTTTGTAAACAGACAAACAGCTAAACACATTTAAAATTTTAGTAGTATATAAATATATAATGCAAAATTACAATTAAACTTGCCCTGTCCCTATCCCTATTTCACGTTATTCCTTTTATATCTTCTCTAAGAATTTTTAGGAGCTCTTTCTTTGAATAGTTTCGCTTTACAAACTTTGATTCAGAAAGAAATATTTTTTCCCCTTTTTAAGAACAAATTGCCTTGCTCTCTGCAACGAAATTCATTGTGGCAGAGTGAGCACCTGTCATTTGCCTCAGCTTTTGCCCCTCTAAAAATTTGAAAGCATGCTATACATGCAAGTAGATAAATAGGTACCACTTTGCTGGGAAACATGGCAGAATTTTGTGCACACGGTCAGACTCCTGCTTGTGCTGGACCTACTCAGATGTGATGCCTGACTGTGAGAAGACATCAGTAGTGAGGGAAGGCCCCAGATGATGCCGCAAAATGCCAGTCATCTTTCTGGTGCAGAGCTAGTTTGTCTCCTATGGTGCACACTGGATAAGCGCATGGCGCAAACTAAATGGACTAGTACTCTTCAATAGCTAAATTACTACTATGTATTAACATTGTAGTCTACTGGCTAATTGTACCATCACAATACAATAAATAAATAATGTGTCAAAATCCCACCAAAAAGGCTTGCTTCAGTTTTTCTAGGCATGACACAATTTATTAGATTGAATCTTCTCCATGAAACTTAAGTTTTCAAGTACAGACACAGGGCAATCCTCTATATGATAGAAATATCTCTATTCAACTCCAATGCTCTCATACCATATTATGATGGAGTCTATAGTCCAGGTGAAGATACAGTAGAAATGGAAAGAAACTGAAACTCCTGTTCCAATTAATAGAGATAATAAATCTATCCATTTTGGTTTCTCCCAGTTTTTTTTTTTTCTGAAAATAAATCAAGTTTATATATATTTTTTAGTTTCTCACTCTGTGGAATGTATTGAACTTGATTGAGAATATTCACTAAGATTTATATGCATTTGGGGACACGTTTTGCCAAATGTATATATCTGTACTTACACAGTTTTAAAGTAATATGGTTTTGTATATTAGCTTCACAAATACACAGATTTTACTGGCTTTTGTAGTACTATGTGTTCTAGGGACAGATTGGATTGCAAAATCCAGAGAATTACATTTCTAAAAACTAACTTTTTAGTTAGTTACTTTGTTTACGCTTAGTTACTCAAAAGGCTTAAATTTAGGAAAAAAATAAGCTACCAGATGTAAAGGATTTTGGATTACTTACTTGTAATATTTTAAGGCTAGGCTCCAGAATATTTGAAAATCATTTATTTTAAATTGCATCCTTTTCTTTTAAATTATAACCAAACAAAGTTCTTTCTAAAAATATATGCAAACTTTTTGAGTTCAGAATAGTTGTATTGGATTTGCCTGAAGTGGGAAACAGCTTTGTACTCACTATTCTTTATTCAAACATGATTTTTATACAAGATAAACTTGGAAGCCACCCATTTTTGTCCCACTTCCTCATGAAACAGTACCATACAATATTTTTTTAAGAAAATATGCATATAAAAGCTTAATCTGTTGTATAAAAATATAAAAGAAAATTGCATGTTTTTTCCTAGATTTTGTTTCTCAAAGGCACATTTATACTATTCTGACTAGCCTTTTGCACCTGATTCTGCCACCAATTACTTCAGTTTGTGATTCTGTCTAGAGACTTGGAATAAAAACTTTTTTTACATGGAATAACTTCTGGCATGATTTATAACTTACTTCAATTTCCCCCTTCATTTAGAAGAATAGCAGAATAGCAACAGAGTTGGAAGGGACTTGGAGGTCTTCTAGTCCAAGGTCTCCAACCTTGGCAACTTTAAGCCTGGTAGAGTTGAAGTTCACCAGGCTTAAAGTTGCCAAGGTTGGAGAACCCCTGTTCTAGTCCAACCTCCTGCTGTCAAGCAGAAAACTCTATACCATTTCAGGCACATGGTTTTCCAATCTCTCCTTAAAAACCTCCAGTGTCAGAGCACCCACAACTTCTGGAGGCAAGTTGTTCCACTGATTAATTGTTCTGCCAGGAAATTTGTCAGGAAGTTCTAGGTAGCTTCTCTCCTTGATTAGTTTCCATTGCTTCTTGTCCTGCCTTCTGGAAATAGTTGGAAAATAGGTTGATTCCCTTTGTGCCAACCCCTTAGACTTTGGAACACTGCTATTATGTTTCTCTTTGTCCTTTTTTTTTATTAAACCAATAAATAAAATCAAATAAAAATGAAATAGAATACTCAATTCCTGCAACTGTTTCTCGTATGTTTTAGCTTCAGTTCCCTAATCATCTTTGTTGCTCTTCTCTGTACTTTTTCTAGAGTCTCAACATCTTTTTTATAACATGGTGACCAAAACTAGATAGTTTCCAAATGTGGTCTTACCACGGCGTGAACACTTTATGTGATACTAACCCTTCACATGATTTTGATTCTATCCTGCTGTTAATGCAGCCTAGGACTGCATTGTTGTTGTTTTTTTGTGACAACTGCAGCACATTTTCCTGATTTTTGTACCATCTAATCCAATATACTTCTGGATCATTCAAGGGCTTGATCCATACATTTCGCCAAGCAACGTAATTGCTGCTTTCTTGGAGGCTCAAAGCTATACAATGTAAATTGTGGTTTATAAGTCCTGGTAGCTAGATTCAGAAATGCAATACAAAATGCAGATATGAAAAAAATGAATATATTGTAGTAAAGTGCATGGAATAAATCAAGAAGCCAAAAGCTGTTGTTTTGTGAATGTTGGTTGATCCTAATAAAAATATTACATCATTTGTATTTTTTAAATCTTATTTCAGAATATCATCCCCATTCCCCGCTAGATTGATATCTTTTGCCCTTTTTATATATGTTTCTGACAACAACCTTATCTGCCAATATATTCATCCATTTTAATTGGTAAACATGTGGGCATGTATATTGATTTTACCAGTAAGCCATATCAAAATGGCGTGCAGTAAGAGCATCATGCAATGCCTTCATGTATTTGTGTGCCAGTGTCTGTCCTAAGTACATAAATTACAGCATTTGTTCAATTATGTTGACCCAACACATCATGGGAGACATCACCCTAATGTCATTTATGTATTTATGTCAAACATTAGAATGCAGGTACCTAATAGTATTTGTGCAATGCCACTACATGTCATTTGCCTGCAGAATGCAAGTACCTAATAGCAGCATTTGTGTGATGGCACTACATGTCGTCTGTCTGCAGCTTGTTCCATATGCCACTGATTATTAGCTAAATGGATCACTGC